ATTAAAGATAAAATTTCTTTTAAAGATTAAAAAATGCTGCATTCAGAAAAAGAGTTCTCTGAAGGTGCTAGTTAATAGGATGTCCTCTACTTGTTCTCTGACATTGATTTAGTTGTCTGAGACAGGAATGTGTCAGTTGCTATGGGCATTAGACAGAAATGCAGCTCCCCAGTTCATCCTGGAGTTCTGCTTATGTATGTTCCTGCACAGTGGAGGTACTCAATGGCACAGAAGAAATGGCATCTCAAAAGCACAAAATTATTTTGTGGGGAGGTTTTTTCAAGTATTTCCCTTTTCAGTAAATAAAAACAGTCTGAACTGTGCAACGGTTGGTACAGAATTAATAAATTTCTGCTTCCTTTGGCTATTGGCAATCTGATTCATTGCAATTAAGAAAGTAATGTATATTTAGAAGCACAAAAGCAGCCATCTCAGCTTAGACCAAAGTGTCCTACATCCAAAGGTGGCTTGAATGCCTAAAGGAGCAGTAAAAGCAGGGTAGGTGTATATGTTACTGTCTCCTAATGCTCTCCCAGCTAGTGGCTATGCTTAGCTTTAGAAAGCTTTCTGCACTGACCTATAACTTTGTGTGTTTACTAACCCAGAGCTGCATTCTTGTATGATTTCACCTACAGGAAGTGTGAAATGAGAATTTGTCAAATATGTGCATGTTTTTCTTTGTTTTGGAAAGTGTCAACTCTTTGTTTAATATCTGCATAGAATTTTGTGGTTCAGCCCTCATTATGAATACGCACTCTAGTTTTTCTCAGTTTTAGCTTAAGAGGTGAGCTGCATAAATAACAGGTTCACCTGCCTTCTGTCCTGTATGGAAATTTCCAATCTGTCCCTTACCTTTCAGGACAGAACAGTGCCGCTTCCTGTCACAGAGTCAGCAGAACCAGCAGATGAATCTGAAACTTGCATTACTTCCTACAGGCCCCTATTAAATTGTTTTATTGCTTCTAATTTACAGGATTTCAGATTTTGTTTTCATTACTGCCCTTGTGCTTTTGCAAGCATTATTCTCTGTACATGCATTTCTCCCTGGCACAGAACACAAGTTCATGCCAGCTCAGTCGATATGCATGCAGATATGAATTTCAACCAGAAAAAAGATCATCACTCAGATAAAAAAATATGTGTTTTATCATTCTGAACATTAGTCATGGAAACCTTCTTCCCAACTGCATTATATACTCTGTTGAAGCTGTTCTATATGTACTTTTTAGGCTATGATCAATTTTAAGCAGACCCAGACGTGCTCTTTTTTTGTTTTTCACTTTAATCTAATTTGTTACCACCCCTTCCAAGTGAAAATGCAATGGCTTTTTAGAGTAAACAGAATGGCAAACAGTAGATAGACAAGGTCATTCTGGCACACTGTGTCATGACTGTAAAGGCCTGTTGTGTGCAAGGAATGACTGCTTTACTGATGAATAATTGGATTTAGGTTGTGTTGCTACTGGCTTAGATAGTTTTGAGTGTTTTTTATCTGATTTAATATAGTCTTGTAAACTAGTGCTTAATAGCTGCTGACCAAGACAATCTGACTGTGAGATTATACATATGATTACTCTTAGTGTTTGAAGAAAACTTTAGGACTGAGTGACTTTTTCCTTCAAACATCAAAACTAAAGGTTTGCATTTGTTTATTTTCTGTAAAACAGTGGATGTGCCGGTGCAATCTTCTACACTGAAAAGCATAAGGAACACAATAACTGGAAAATATTGGAAGGTTATTAATGGTAATAATGTTATATTGCCCTGCAATTCTTACAAACATAGTCAAAATGGGCACTGCCAACTTTAGAGGCAACTAAATGGACAATAAAGACCATCCTGGCAGAGGAGATGCTAAGAGGGAAAGGACTAAGATGCAGCATCTTAATGCTGCTGAAATGAACAGCTCTTTTGTGAATGATATCACTATGACTAGGATTTCATCAACTAAGACTGAATGACCCAATGATGAAAAGATGGCCTTGAAATCCCAGTCAAATGTTGAGTCCAGGTTCAGATGTAAATGTATATTTCATCAAATAAAAAAAAAAAAAAGTAGAAAAAATAAATGTAGCAACTTTCTCAGGGCATCACCAGTCATCTTTTTAAACAACATCTATCAATACTAGAACAAGTTTTGGGTGGATGGGCTAAGGAAAACACCAAAAAGCAACTTCTGGCAGACTGAAAGGGGAAGTGAATTTTTAAATCAGGGGCTATTGCAGCCCATCTAAACTTTGAATATATTAGTTTGAGTGTCTCTGAGTGCATTACAGGTTCATCTCAATTTGACATAAGCTTTTTGAAAATATTTTTAATATTAAATAGATTCATGAATGCATAAACTTTAATGGATAAAACATGATCTTTCTGCTGAGGAGTTTCAGCTGTAACTAAAAAATGGGTGCCTTTCATCTTGTTATTTGAAAATTGTGATAAATATGTCACAGGTAGCCTGAGATGTTTGAAATAATGAGAGTGACTTGTGAGAACAGTCAGCCTCTTTCAGAGGCTGACTTAAGCTGTACCTAAGAAACCCAGTGACAATTAGAACCATATTCTGTTGAAAAGGCCTTGTAATTGAATTCTGAGAGCCTGGGCAAGGCAGATACTCCAAACCAAATATTTATAAGGAAACTAAATGAACCGAACCCAAAGTTTTAATGAAAGATAAAGTACATTAAAGTCTGATCAATTGAAGCTTCAGGCACAAAGAAGTGATTTAGCCCACTTTTAGCATGTTATTAAAAATTGAACAGAAAATGTGAATTTTCATTTTGTGGATTCCTTTATTCTGAAGTTTCAGTTGACTGCAATTTTGGAGCAAGGAGCCCTACGTGGAACAAAATTATCATTGTAATTTCTTTAGTACCACTGGTAGACTTGACTCAAGGGTGTCACTCAGGCAGGCTGCCTTGGAGTCACAGGAACCTTGTGAGACTTCATCTTGAGCAGAGTAGTTACAGCAGGGCAGACGTTCCAAGCAGGACATCCTGGAGTCGAAAGTTAGAAGGGACAAAGTTGCTAGGAACCTGACAAGAAACCAGAAAATACGTCAACCCTGCTGCCTTTTTTTTTTTTTTTTCATTCTGCTCACTTTTAGCAGAACTGTATGTAGATTGACTAGCAGAATGGTTTCTGCTTCAGTAAGGCTTTGTTTTGTTCTGGATTATGGAAAATTTAAATGGCATAGCTTATGTTGTAATTGGGATAAACTTTCTATGTTTTGGAACTTTATGTAAGGAGCAAATGTTCCCTTGAGAACTCTGTTACTGTTCTGTCCACTTTCAACCTTTTTTGGTTTCTGGGTGTATTTGTCTTCCAACCGCGTTGATATGAGAGATCTGATTAGAACAGCCATACTCCAGTTCAAGCATCCTGGCTCAGTCTGTTGTGATGCCTCCCATCACAGTTACTCACTTTCTGTCCTGTTCTTTTATATGTGCTGTGTGAATGCCTACAGTGAAGAATGCAAAAAATGTCAAAGCAACACAACAAACTATAATGTTGTTGTTGAATAGTGAGTCTAAATTCCACATAAAGTGAGGAACCTGATTCCTACTGGTAATAATATTGAAATTTTCCAGAAGCACATTAGCAGCTATGAGTTTCATTCCCCATAATTTCTTATTAGTGCTGAGAGTTTCAAATAAGAAATCAGTTCATACACTGCTTGCTTCTCCCACTCCCCCCAGTTTCTCCAGATCAGAATTTCTAGTCTTGCTTATCATTCTGCTAAACAAGCAGTGACCCTAATTCTAGCAGCTTTTGAATTAATGATGAAGGTTATCAACATGGGGTCTTTTGCTGCTCTTAAGATTTGTGGCCAGCTAAATTGTTCTCCTTTGGACATTGCACAGTATAAATCACCATCATTCCTGGCAAGTGCTCTTTATGTTGGTCATCATTAAAAGCCAAACATTACTGCTGTGCAATAGTCCAAGTAATAACAGCCCAGCACTAGGACATTATAAGTCCCAAGCCTTATTTCTGTTTTGTCTTTTTTTTCTACTGAGATTCAATACAATTTTAAGTATCCAGTAGTTTTGAATTGTGAATCAAGATGAGCATAGTGACTATACAAATAAAATGGGATTAATTTGGTTTTAAAACTATTTCCATATTAATCCTAATTCAGTTTCATTTAGAAAAAGAATTTAAAGGTGTCCAACCTTTTCCATTGTTTGTTTCTGCCTCCCTTCTGTCAGTGATTTCTTTCCTAGCTAGTGAAAGGAGAAGAAATGTATTTTTTCTCTTCACTTCCACTGCAAAGTCGATTCAAACATGACTTGCCACAAAATTCTGGTGGATTCAAGGAGGAAACAGACTGAATGAAAGATGAGTTAGGAAGCACATGTTCCGTTCAGCATAAAGGCAGATCCTGGAATAATTTTCAGCAAAGGCAAGGAGAAGATGCATGAGAAGAGAGTGAGACACCTTCTGTGTGTGGAACCTGGGACAGGCTATCATTCGTAATCCCTGTGACAACCCTTTTTCTCAGGAGAACCATTCCCTTCCTGCTCTTTGCACTTATATGAACCCCAGCATTTGTAGTGTGGATTTTGTTGGTTTGGGTTTGTTTTGGTTTTTTTCAATTCACAGGCTTTCAGGGTAGGTATGCACTGGAAAGACCTTAAAGGCAGGAAATTCAGAAATCCAACAAGAGTTACTTGATATTCATTTTCTGCCTTCCTCTCTGTTGCTTCCTCTCAACACACAGTACTAAGGCAAAAATGTTTTCATTTGCTTTTCAGTCAGCTGAAGCATATTCTTTTCTGTGATGCCAGCAATGAACTGTATTTTCCAAGTTTAATTGGCAAGTCAAACAATAACACAAATGCTTCTGCAGAATTGTGCTAAAGGTTCTCTGTCCTCAGTTCAATAGCAAACGTCCTAGAGAGTATGTGCTTTGGTTTTTGTCTTTTGCAGGGAGCATCTTTTTAATTTTTTTCTGGCTTTCACAACAAGCTGACTGATAGCTGGTTTGTTCTCTATTTCAGGTCGTGGAGACTAATTTGGTTGCTTTTGACTGTCACTGGATCATTATAAATGAGGTAACTGTCAAGCAAACATTGTTGTGAACCATGAATCCTGTTTTCAGGCTTACTGACAACATTCATGCTGATTCTCACTTTGCCAACAGGAAGCAGTAACTATGACAAAGTTCAAGTACGCTAAGGGAGTAGATGTTGCTTAATAAAAGTAGAATGACAAGTTCTTGGACTTTCCTCTTTTGTCTTCCTTGTTTTAAGTGGAAGTCCTTGGATGAATAAATGGAAAATAAAATGAAAATCCCCTTTGCTTCTGAGTATCTTGAGATTTGATATTTGAGCTGACTGTTTTTATAGGATCTTTTAAAGGTCTTTTTTTTTCATATGTAATCTTTTTAGAGGACTCCTTTAATTTTGTTTATATTTTAATGATTTTTTCTTAATAATCAAAATAATAATAATAATAATAAAATCCCATATTTCACAGTCCTTTAAGAATTGCCCAAGAATTCCATCATGGTTGATATCCAAACCACTTGATGTTAGTGAGAGGCTTTTTGGTAGACTTCTGGATTAGGTCATATGTGAATGTTTATAAAGGGAAAAAAAGGCATTTAAATTGAAAACCTGTTTTTAAACTATGAGATAAGTTCTTCCATGAAAACTTGTCAGCTAAAATATGATGAGTCAATATGTGAAGTAGTTTTGCATATAAAACATTGAACAATACAATTCTTAGATTTGACAGTATTCAGGTTTTTCCTTTGTTTATTGAAATACAATTTAAGTCCAGAATAGCTGGATTTCCTGAGTAAATAACTCTCTCCTAACAGGTAGATCATGCAACTCCTGAATATTCTCAGGATAAAAGATTGGTTGGAGATACTGCGTGTAAATTCCAGGTCTACTGCCTAGATTTACTGTACACTTCTGTTTTCATACTTAGTTACTAAATTTTCATCAATATACTGTGCTAAACCAGTGGATTTTTGACCAGTTTTCCCTGGAGAAAAATATGTCTCAGAAAATGCTGTGAAGACAAAGCAGGTCCAGCATAAATTATTAATTTGGGCCCTGCATTGCTCCTCACCAGTATTGTGTGTGTTTTCCAGCACCAAGTGGAACTTTGCTGGTTGAGAACCCAGCTTTGATCTACAGGCAGTCATGTGAGCAGCATACATGTTTTCTTTTCCACATCAGATTAAACTAGAATTCACTTGCAGTGAGTGGAATTTTGAAATAGAGTGTTCATCTATACTCTTTAGACTTAACACATAGTATTTTAAAGAGACCATTAACTGAATACAAAGTCATCCTCAGTATCAGTAGATTGGACAGCAGTCATAGGAAAAGCTCAGATTTTGGCTTGCTGTTCACATTAAAAAACAACTACTATTGGTTTTTCATTTTAAATGTTATTTACATTCCAGAAGTTCAAAAGAAGGTGCTTGCTTTTAGCTGTTTCAGCTCATTCACCCTCAAAAAGCAAAATAAAACCAAAGATCCATTCCTAGCATGCATACTTTCTCTTCACTTTTTATTCAGAAACTAATGTCTCTACGGGAAAAAATCTGCTTTCTAAGCATTGTTATTTGCACATTGCAGCAGATTAAATGGCAGAGCAATCAAAGTGGTTACCACTTAACTGCCATCTCTACTCCAAACTCTTTCTCTGGGCTGCAGTCCCAATAGCTAAGAGAGATGAATAATATATGCAGAGAAATGTACATCATCTCTTCTTAGTTTTATAGTCTTGTATGTGAAATAGGCAAAAGCCATGATCAAGTTAATTCTGACAAAGTGTGCTGTAAACCATAGCCATTGAAATCTCTGTATCTCATTCAGTTGTTCATGTTTTTGTTTTTAGAGAAAATGAATATGTTTAGTGCTATCTCAGCTTAATCTGCTTCTGGACCTAAATACATATTCCCACTTAAGTAACTCTCAAACTCTGTTTAAAAATACTAATAATCTCAATATTTTGCAGACACAGAAATCAGATTAGCAATAAATAAGATAGGTAGGTAATAATATAGAAGGACTTCTGTTTTGCCCAATTTTTCCTTATCACTATGTTCAAATTGCAACAGAAATGTACATATTTCCTGAATGATGACTGTTGTGTAACATTACTTGCTTATTGCAACATTTTGCAAGTTCAGTAACATCATTGCAATGCCTCCATTTGGCAGTGCAAGATTTGGAAATACATGATTTGTGGGGCCTTTACTCTGTGGAATGTGAAACAACTATCTTTATATCCAAGTCCATTTGAGGTGGTTGTCCATTTCCTGTTGATGACCACAGTACTTCCATATGACTGTGAAATGATCTTGGAGCTCTGTCTATTTTGTTGCTTATATGAATCTTTTGTGACAACTTAGACATGTGTTTGAGTGCCTATATTGGCTAAATCAGACTGCCAACTAAGTAACTGTAGCACTGCATCTCTGGCCTCCTAATTTGAAATTCTAAGATGATTTATTACAGTGAAATTGCATTGTTTTGCAAAATTCTACATAGGAATGAAATAATTCCTTGCATTGAGATACCAAAATAAGCTGGAATTGTTTTTCCTTTTCCATCACTGTGCCAAGGGAATACAATGTACTTACCAACTATAGTAATACAAAAGAAAATACCACCTTCGTGTTTTGTGATCAGGAATCTGCTTAGGCTTTGTGAGGTAACATCTGTTATTTTAATTGCTCCCTGCTAATGCTATAATGCCTGCAAAGAGTTCTTTAATTTTTATTGTCCCATTAGTTGTTAATTTATGTAATACAGCAAATTTTCTTGAAGACTGTGTATCATAATGGAAATGTGTATGTGGGAGGAGGGGGTTTGTTCCCATAAAACATAACACATCATATTAGCCCTCAGCAAATAATGTAAATCTCTTCTGGTCATTGTAGTCAGCTGAGAAGACAGTCTCCAAATAAATGTTCCTATTTCTTCAAGACCTTAAAGCAGATTTTGCAATTCTTTATTTAAAATTTGCAGGAATTACAGATTTGAATGTAGTCATGATCAAATATGCCTTAACAAAATGTGAGAATGGATTTCTCATGCTCTCGCTCCCTCTGTCTGTCTGTCTTTGCTTGCTTCATTTCCTCTGCACTATAGTAAATATAACACCAAAAATCCCAGGATAGAAAAGTTATATTTCTTCTTAAATCACAAGTGTGATTTTATTTAGTGGAACTGAAGGAGGGGCATTTGTATGATTATCACCTCTTTACCCTTTTTAAATGAAAGAAATGTCCTCTTTTTCATTTTATGTCATGTCTCTTTCAAACATTTTCCTGTGTTAAAACTTTCAAGGTTATTAATCTCAATTTTAATAGTCTCAAGATTATTACCTTACCACACCCAAGATTGCCACCAGTTCTCTGTTACCATTGTTATCTCAAGGTCAGCCCCAAACACTTTCCAATGCCTACAGTTACCATACAGGAGGTGAAACTATTAATGCTTCTTTACAAAGGATTGGTTGGGTTTCATCTACAATAATGTGCAGAACTATGACCAGCTCTATTAAAAAGAGAATGGAACGAAGGCACAGAAAAGCTGATTTGTGTGAGAAGAGACTGGAAAGGTTGACTTGATTAGGCTATGAAAACAAAGACTGAAAGAGGATGTGCTCTCTGTTTATAAACACATACAAAGTGTGAATAAATGCATCATTCTCAAGGGCTAGAGGACAAGGTTGACACAAGAACAAATTACTTCAATTTATCCGTGGGCAAACTGAGGTCAAAAGTTGATAAAAGGTTTCTAATTACCAGGCATCAGAGTCTGGAAAAACTCCTTCTTTGAGGAAAGAATGAAAAAAACCTCCAAACTCTTTTAAAAAGACCAGTTTATAGAAAAAGATCTATCTGGTTTGCCAATCATAGCACATGAGAGGACTGGGGAACCTGCAAGGTTGCATTCAAAGGCTACTTTCTGATGAGCATATTTTTCCTAGGAGGGGATTGGTCTTTGGCCCATGTATTCAACATTGTTCCATTGTGTTTCACCCTATTGCCCTCCACCATGGAGAAGAGCGTAGAGCATAACTATGTTTTAAGCTTGAGCAGTTAGTTCAGGTCCTAAAATCATGGCTCGGTTCCAGGAGCTCACATAATTCTACCTTTTCATATGGATAATGATTAATAGCAACACTAGAGCTTCATTTGAACCCTTTTGCAATGGGTCAGTGGGTCCAGTGACACCCTGTTTGGAACGGGTGGGCAACCAAGATGCCAGCTCTTGGTGAAGTGAGAGCTAACGAACAGACAGATTGAACCCTGCTTTCTCCAAACTCTTGGATATTTTTTTTTTCTCTGTGAAACCTAAAAATTTATTTCATTGTCCTATCAGGTTTTATTCACCCTCCTTCCAAGAACCAAGAGGAGATATAATGAAGCAAGGGAGATATAATGAAGCAAGTGATCATGCAGTTCAAGATCTTCCTTTACTTGTCTTGGAGCTTCATCTAGTTATGCCTTTCCCTCAACTACTCCTCTTTGGAGGGTGCTGAGAAATTCAGGAAGGGCACAGCACAGATGTGCTATGGCATGGGCAGTGGCAGCCCTGAGGCCCCAAGGAGGTGTGCAGTGGCCACCCTTTCCTGCTCTGCCCTCTGTTCACTGCTGCTCGCTTTTGGAGGAGGAAGAAGCACTCTCCTTTCTGAGTGTCATGAATTTATGTGATGAAGTCCTTGCATGCACTGAAAAATAGGGCAAGTCCGCTATATTATAAATACTGGAATCATCCTCTTGGCCCAAATTTAAGATGTTTCCATAATAAATGGTATTGCTGCCTTACTTTGGTGCTTATTACAGGAGCATGTAAATAATTTCCCTTCATGTCTCTCACTACAGGTACAATTGCCCTATGGTGAACAGTAAGTCTCTGCCTGTGCTGCTTATCTTAAAATACTGGGACAAATCTGAATGGCAATATATATTACATGTCCAGTCATGTTTCCCACTGGAGTCTCTGCCTTATATATCAAGATGATCCTCTTCAATTCCCTTTCCCTAATTCATCTCCAAAGACTTATTAATTTAAAACAGCATTTATTTTCTTATTTATTTTCCTACTCTGATGAAACGTACATCTAATTTTATCCTTGTTGCATTTGTGATAGGACAGTGTCCACTTTATTCCAAGTTCAGACCAATAAAAGAAAGGCTTGGAACTATATATTGAACTGATGTAAAGAAAAAAAAGCAACCCCACATAACCTAGCCTAAATTTATACAGGTGCCAACTCAGTTCAACTTGGCCAACTTTCTAATTTTTTTTGACATTTGATGCTTGTGTAACAGATCATCTGCCATCCTTATATCATTACACTGTATCCTCCTTTGAAGTGCAAATGAAAATTGTTTCCTCTCATACAATAGTTGCTTTATATAGTTTTCTTAAGTCAGATCCAAAATACAAGAATGAGAGATGATATTGGAGAGTCATTATATAAAGGGCTTGTCACTCAGTCAATGCCAAATATTAAAAAAATTACAAAGAAATACATAGCAAATGACTAATGGTGAATTAGGGTTTGCATGGCATTGCTTTTTTGTTAACCTAAAATCTGAATATATGATATAATCAGTGAAATTCACAGCATTTAAAATAATAGCTGTCATTAATCTGTAGATGTATATACCTCCTTGGCAACCCTACAAAAATATCTCTAATGTTTGAATTCTGTTGTTATTTCCCAGGTGATGTATAAAAATATGAGGTAGTAGCCTAAAGGTTAAAATGGGAACACTCTGTTTAAAATGCACCAAAACATGCTTACTACAGAAAACATAAATATACTTTTAAGGCAGAAAAGATAAATGTTTGAGGAATTGAAAGTCAAAATCTCTTTTGAAGTAATATTTGGAAATATAATGTGGCCATGCAGGTATCTGTTTTTACATTATTAGAACAAGTATAATAATCTTGGGTTTACAGTTTAGGCATGGTATATAATGAAAATAGAAAAACTTCTTTTTAAATCCTCTGAGAAAGGATATAATTTAAAATCAAGATAAGAAGTTACTTGAGCTCTCCTTTATGATTATATTGAAAGTATTTTAGAAAACGTGATATGTATTTTGCTAAAACAGCATTATTTTTTTTTTTTTACCTTGAAGCTAGTGAAATGATACAGGCTAAATGAAAAGATGGCATCTTAAGCTGACATAAACCATTATCTGTGGTACATTAAGAATTAATTAACCAGCAATGCAAGATATTACACTGGACACAGCTGATGCTATGTGTTATTTCTCTTTACAGAAAAATCTATATTTCATAAAGAACACTAATAACAGATGAATTCAGAAATTATGATAATCTGTGAAGGTGAATAAAATGCTTTTATGGTAGTCAAGAGAGTAGACGTTAAAATTTACATGTCAAATGTTTTTCTTCCAAAATTTAAAGGAAACAAACAAATACCAGTATGTCCAAAGAAGTTGCTTCAAAATAACAGAAGGGTATTATACTGAAACTGCAAAAAAAATCCAAAATAACTGGGATAGTTGTCTTAATGTAGACAGCTCTTGTTGTCTCTCTTGTCACAGAGTGATGCCTTTTCAAAAAGCTTGGCTATGGAATCTTTTCAATAGAAAGATTCCATAATTTGAGATCAAGTCTATCTCCTGGTGTCTCCTAAATTCTTTAATATGATTACAGATCAGAAAGCTAAAGACAGAAAAAGATGATGGCATTTCATTACACAAAGCAGGTATAACAAAACAGATGTGCTGTATCCTTTGAAAAATGAAAAGCTATAAATACACAAATGAGAATCAGAAATAACTGTGGCTTTATGAAAGGGAATGTTAAATTCAGGCTGCTAATAGGAGCTCCTCGAGCACCTCCCTTCCTGGGGGCATATCCACAATTTTAAATGTCTAGAAAGTTTGCAGCATCAGCCTCTGACATTAAGACAGATTATGAATAAACAGTTCAGCATGATGAAAAATAGATTTTGGTTAAAAAGACTGAACAAATTTTAGATTATTCCTACTATTTTACAGAAAAATGCAGACGCAGAATTAATTTGAAAGCAACGAGCTGACTCTATTTGAGTCTTTAGGAAAAAAAAGTTTAACAAAGTTCAAGTTCTTAGGTGAAGTTTGGAGTAAGTTGTTGTTGCTTGTGAGCCTGTGCTCCTCTTATTCCACATTCCCCAAGAGGCTCATCATTCAATGGCGTAAAAAAATGTGTTCCCAAGCTGCAGGAATTTATGCTATGTAAAGAACTGTTTTTCTGATTTCCCTAACCTATCTTAGAGTTAATATTTTAAGCTTAATATTTCACATATTGATGTATTTACTTAGTTATTTTTTCTTTAAAGTATGTGTCTGTGGAGCTGAGTATTCTGTTGTAAGCCTTAATAGGTTCCCTGTGGAATAAAAATTCGTTTTCAAATTAGGTCTTGCTATAAACAAGCACCTAGAATGATCTTGTGCATTTTCTTTGCCCTTTTGGTAAATGGGCTAACTTGTTTGCTAACTTACACATTGTTTATAGGTTCTTGATATTCTGTTTCTAGGAAATGAACACTTAAGACCTGAAAAATTGTCTCTACCTTCACAGCTCCTAAGTAATGGTACACTTAGAAATACATCATGGTATGACTTCCTACTGATTTACACATTATCTGTCAAGGATGCTGTGAAACTTCTTAAATTAAAGATCAGAAAAGGTAAAAGGAGAGGCAGAGAAAATCCCAAATGAAACAACTAAGCTCAGTTACATCTACAAGTATTTAGTGAGGTTTGGGCACAGTACACTTTAAAGTTTTGCAGTTAAGGGTGGTGTGTCACTTGTTTTAATGAGCATGCACTCATTGTTTTCAAGGCTGTGGCAGAGCTTGACAGTAGCTGTGTATCAATCACAGGCCTCTCGCTCCACTCAGTTTATTTTTTTGTTTCTGATCTGGTGGTCACTGAATTTTAACTCTCATGCATATTCTCTCCCTTGCCTTATCTTTCAGGAAATAAATGACGTGGATGTGCAGGAACTGGTGAGAAGGTCAATTGGAAGATTAACAATTATTCGACAGACATTTCCAGTTCCCCAAAACATAAGTCAGCGCTGTTTCCGTGGCAACCACAGAATATCTTCATCACTGTGTGATCCGAAGGACCCTTTCTCCCAAAGCATGGAGGTAGTTCATATACTAATCTATCCCCACCTGGGAACTGTCTTTCTAGATAAGTTCTAAGTTTTTCCCCAGGGGCTTAGTGTAACTTAGTGTTATTTTTCATGTCCTCTCTGACATGTAGCTTAATGGCTTATGGCATGACAAGGAAATACTTGGGTTAGAGTGGGTGAATGTGGCCAATGGAGAACAACAACTTGCCCGCTCCACAGTAATAAACATCCAAAAAAACCACCTGATCTCCAGGTAGTGGGGTATTCATTTTGTTGCCCTGCTAAATTTTAATTTTTGTCATCTCACCAAAAAGAATTTCCTCCCTGTAGTCAATGTCTCCTGAGTGACTGTGCTTCTCTAAGCCCCAAATATGTTGTCAATAGGAAAGTCTTCCTGGGGATCACCCACCTCATCTGTTTCAAGTGTCTTAGTGTATACATCTAAATCTAAGTTCCAAAGAGGCCTGATTTTCAGGGTTCTTAATCACAAATTACAATTAATTGTACCACAATTGTACCAATTAATTACCACATGAATTCAGCAACAGGATCATGGTCACTGTCCTCCTGACTTCACACAGTTTTTCCAAGAAAAAGTCCTCCGTATCTCATTAGGCTTCATCATGACAAAACTACGGCAAATCAGGAGTGTGAAATTGGCTTAACATGTTGATTTTAATTTTGGTTCGTTTTTTCCTGTGTTCATTTTTGTAGCTGTGGAAAGATTGTTTCTAGCAGTGGAGGAAGAGTGAGAGAAAACAATGGGAGAAAAATAGGGAGGTTTTGAAGAGTCTTTGCTTAGAATGAAAATATGTAAGTGTAAAAGGAGAAGTGTGGATAGTCTTGCCCTGTTCCAGATTAGCTGTAAGAGCCTTCGTCTGTTACAAATTCTGGACAACATGGCCAGTAAACAATAACTGATGACATGAAAAATTTTGGCTGTGGCACACTGCATGGTGCTCCTAGTAGAGTTCTTAAAATAAACAGGGCTGTGTAAGGTCCATAGATGCACTGGATATCTCTAGAGACTTTTTAGGAAGTGCAAAAATCCTTTAGGCTGTGCCATACTGTTATGGCAGCATGGTCCTAAGGGTAGTCTACAGACAATGTGTTAAAGCTGAGGGTGTGATTACATGAAGGCACTAGAGATTGCAAAGAGCAGTTTTCGTGAACAGTTACTAACTACATCAAGGCAGAAAACAAAAATCATGTATGAATGGGAAGCTTCATATGTTAATTTATCTTTCTCTTCATTTTCATTTACATTTTAACAGTTGACTGACTCAAGGAAAGATAAGTTCAAGAAATCAAAATTTTTTCTCTACAAATTGGCAAATTCCATTTAATGTGTTTGATAGGATCCTATGCCTTAACCTGTGCTTCATGATCAACATATAACTTGGAGAGCTATAACATTTCTATTGAAAGCTTTCGTAACGTTTTGTGTCAAAGGAATGATGGAAGCTTTACTGGCTTAACTGTTAATGAGAAACAGTTAACTTGCTTTTTTCATCCTTTCCCTGAGATGGCTGTGCTTCATTCTTAGCTGAGTGAGGCAACATTAGAAACTGACAGGAAGGAAAACTCTGACACAGTTTCCCCTGTGTCTTCATATGATGCACAGACCTTTGAGTAGCTGTGGGGTTTGTTTGCTGCTTCTTTGTTCTACTCAACAATATTATAAATTAGTTTCTAATCCAGTGGGGAGTTGGAACAGTTTATAAATTGAAATTACTAATGCTCTTTTTTTTTATGACATTGAAGTGTGACTAATCAGAAACATTCTCTGGAAATTATAAGGGTGGATTTTTTGATTTATTTTTTTCTGAATTACTCTCTCTAAAGTCTGTGTGAATAATTAATTTTTTTCAACATCTTTATTAAAACACTGAAAAATATTTTGGTGAAGATGCCTCATTGTGTCTCTGGAATTTTTCTAGTTGAAACTATATAAATTATTTTATATAAATTTATATTATTATATAAATTTTTATAATTTTGGAGATGGGAAGTTAAAAACTGGATTCACAGAAGTATTTAGTACCGTAACCTTTTTATCTAAAAACATGTGCAATATCATAGGTATGCGTAAAATGACCACTGTTAATCCAGATTAATCACTCATGCCTAATCTGATTGCTAAATAGCTTTCTTCTATGCTCTGGAACAAAAAAATCACATCTGAATTTTGAATTACATCAACAGAAAGTTATCCAGTTAAATACTACTTGGTAATGCAAGTGTCCCCCCTCCCATCTAAGAGAGTTGGAATACATAAAGGATCAGTAAGGGATATGAGGCAATGCATTAAATGCCCCAATAAATTTATGTGGGAAATTAATAAAGGTGTAAAGTGACTTTAAATTACAACCCTGCTCTGTTCATCAGGACAGTTACTAATGAAGCATACTTGTGGTAGTGACAGGGAAGGGTGATTTTGAGAAACAGGAATTAATTGTGGTGTCTTTATCATAGCATTATCAGTGATTGATTGCTGTAAATGTTAAGTTGAACTATTAGTGAAGGAATAACAATGCTTAATAATTGCTGAATTCTGTCCTCCTGAGCCCTGTTAATACTTGATGAAGGCCCAGCTATATTACTCTTAGATTAGTGAATGCATCCTTTCTCATGAACTGTGACAATTGTCTTCTATTCCCATGACAGTAGGTTACAGAAGCTACCTTGAAAGCAGTGTTAGTTTGTTGGGAAATGATGACTTGGCATCTGAAGCCCTTCATGTACCAATTTAGTCTCGTTAATGACCTTATTGCCTCTCTCTCCTTTTGGCAATCCCCTGAAAGGGATGTTTTTATCCCTTTGGCAAAGGCTTACGTAAAAAAAAAAAACCTTGCCTCACTGCACAGTGATAATTCCTTTCCTCCCCGTTCCAGCAAATGTCCCTCTAGTGCTGACTTCATTGGAGAAATATAGTTTTAGCTGAAATGCTTTGAATTCTCTGTAGGTTTACAATACACAGGCAAATCATCCAAGTTGTTTTAAAAGTGCTTGATTAATCTGAACCCAGATCCTCAGTCCGTGTTTTTAATCCTGTCATGCACGGTGATGCCTGGGCTATGCATCTGCAGATGCAAAGTAAATTTGTTCCTGGGTGAATACTGAAATGGAAATGTTCATAGCCACTGGAGAAGCTCGAGTAAGAATAAAGAAGTGTCTTCTAGGAAGATGGAGAAAAAGGGCAATAAGGATCAGAGGTTTTGTGTATCTGTGGTACTAACAACGTAGAGTTGTAAAGGTAATAGAGGATTCTGGGAGTTTATCAGAAGGGAAAGCTGCAGACAATTAGGTATCCTTTGACAAAATATGGAAGGCAAAAAGTCTGAAATAATTCTGGCCAAGTAAGGAGAAAAACTCCTTCTTTCCTGGGTGCTCGGCAGGGAAGGAATCTGTCACATAACCCTCCTAGGAACAGTATAGTGAATGACACAAGCAAAGCCAGCATAAAGATAGAATTTACAAAAGAAAATAAAAACATAAAAGTAAATTATATGGAAAAGAGTAATTAGGCAGGAAGAGAGGTGGGGTTTTTTCCCTTAGGTTCCCCCCCCCCCCCCCCCGGTTTTTTTAGATGATATGTGGCTTTACCAATCATTGTCTCACATGTTCAGCATTATTGTGCTTGTTTGTCATATAGCCTCTCCCAACAGCAGTGGGACTTTCCCAGTCTTTGGATATATTTAAACAGCAGAATAGGGGCATTCTCCACAAAGTTGATGTACTTTCTATTGTAAGCTTCCTTCTGCTAAAAGATTTTGAACACACCATCTGTATCTGTGTAAAAAAACCTTTACAGAGAGCAGTCAACATATTCCACAAATCTGAGAAAGTGTTTTTTGGCTTGTCTGTGACTGATGGAGAAAAAAACGCAGCAACCTTGCCTCAGTTAGCAAATTACCACTGGCTAATTTGTTGTCAGGCACTAGGAATGCCCTACAGACCCCGTTATCAGGCAGATGAGGAAACTGAGTTTCCCTCAATAACTTCGAATGACCAATAGGTTATCTAAAAATAATATTCCCGAAGGTCCTTTTCATTTCTGAACATAATTTTTCTTGAAGAGAACCTCCGTTCAGGACAGCTGAGGGATTTTTTTTTTATGATACCATCAGTAACTTAAATGTTCCTGCCATCTGAGGACAGAAAAGACTGATATAAAGCTGTATTATAAATTACTTGTTTCAGAAGCGTTTATGAATTCTGAGCTTCTGTTCTTTTACGTTTAATTGTATCTTTTGCTTCTGACTTTGTACTGTGGGCATTTAAAAGTATATATATAAAAATAGTACATGGGTAAGTGGAACTGGCACACAAGTGATATCTTTTCTTGAGTTCATCTGTTTTGTCTTTGATCCCAAACTGGAACTTCCTCACACTGTGTGCATGTAACTATGCTTGCAGTGAAACACATATGCATTTACTCTGTAAAAATTTTATCCTGTGAGGAATTAGCAACCAATGCCAAATACTTCAACAGGAAACACTACAAATTGCAGAATCTACATACAATTGCACTCTGCACACTGAATTATATTTCATGCCAGAAATTGCCTCAATCAGAATTGACTACAAAAATCAGGAGCAAAAAACACAATTAAATTATTTTAAATTTTCTGAATTTCTGTTTTTCAAAAGAACAAAACAGCCTTGAAGATAATTTAATGGTGTCCAAGTATCTGGTGACTGAAAAATCGAAATTTGCAAGCAATTGGTTTAAAATAAAAGAAAATCGGTTTACGTTCAAGAGTAGGGCTTTAAATCTGGCAAGTGGAGCTGTGCCAGTGATTGGGCTGTCTGTACTTCTCGTGTGTGTAGCTGGTTGCTGCAAATCACTTCCAGCCTTACAGGCCCTGGATACAGATTTTACCAGAGCCCAAAGGTATGACATTTTGACTCTTACAGATTCTTCTTAATATCAAATAAGGTGTTTAATTACCAGAGGATTATGGGTGAAGCAAAACAAATGATAAATTCTGGCTGCTGGCAGGAGATTACAAATAAAAATGCTAATCCTTCCCTTTTTGTCTCCTTACAGATTTCAAACCTGTATATATATGACACTGTCCTCCTGCTGGCAAATGCCTTTCATAAGAAACTGGAGGACAGGAAGTGGCACAGCATGGCCAGCCTCACCTGCATCAGGAAGAACTCTAAACCCTGGCAAGGAGGACGATCGATGTTGGAAACCATCAAGAAGGTACCTTTTCCCTGTGTTTCCTCATCTTTGATTTCTAAAATGCTCACATTAAGCAGTATTTCCTGTTGGGTTATATATTACTCTTGTCAGTACCAGCAGTATAGTTTTTATATTTTCACAGTTCCTGAGTGAAACTAGTCTTTATTTGGTTTTGGCTGTTTGGTGGTTGTTTGGTTTTTTCTGTGTCATAAATAATCATATTGAAATAAATTCAATGAGTTTGTTTGCTAAAACGACCAAACCAGTAGGATGTTCAAATAAGAAAAAGTGTCACAGATGAAAAAGAGTCACTGTTGAAAAAGTGTCACAGGTTAGGAAAAAAAGGAAATAGATTTACTATTTGTAAAAGAAGAAAGAAAAAATTGCAGAATTTCATTTGGGCAACGTTCTGTGGAATTCACTGTTGTGCTGCTTTTGACATTACTATAGTGAAATCACAGAAAAGAGAGTGAGGAAAACCTCAACTTATGTAGGCTATATCCTACCATTGCAGAACTGTTCCTGTAACTGTCTCTACAGTGCTTTATCCAATGTCAAACTCTCACTGCTTCCCTGTGATTATTATTTCATACCTTAATCATGCTCATTGCCCAAGATCCTTTTCCTGTTCTTCAGTCCTTAAAGATAATTTTTCTTAATTATTTTCTTTCTTCATGATATTTACAGCCTCCACATACTTACAAACAAATATTACAGCCTTCCAGGTCAGTATTTAGTCAATATACACAGGCTCATAGTTTACCCTTCCCTGTAAGTTATTCACCTCATTCTCCTTATGTTATTGATGTCTTTCATAAAACTGCCTTCCCACTTGTCTGCACGTACTTCTTGGTAATGTATACTTACATTTAAAGTGCTGGCAGTGCTAACATTGTAAGTACAAAAAAACCCAGGACAGTAAAAAAAAAAAGAAAAATTGAAAAATTATACTTTATTTATGGATTTCACTAAAGGACATAAAAGTAATGTAAAAATATAATGTTGTCTCAAGAAGTTGTCGTTCTGCATTAGGTATTTAACTATACCAGAAATTATGATAATGCAGGCAAAATGTACGGCTCCTTTGAGCACTGCTTGTATTTCACCCAGTGCTGGTTTAATCTGCATTAACTCCAAAATAACAGTTCAAAGCTTTCTTTGGTGCCTGTTCCCAGTTTCCATTCTAACAGTTTGAAGTCATGAGACTGCAAGTATAATACAGGACATGTTTCTTATTTTAGGGGCAGGATATGGCTTTAAGGGGCTCTAAACTGTATTGCTCTTAACCTATCAGAGCAATTTCAAATTCACATTTGGCAGTCCAGTGTATTTTAAGCTATGTTTCAGCCAAGACTGGTTCTCTTCTCAACTTGGATTTTGTAAATACTATTGCACACTTTTTAATTGATAAACTAAATGCTATTTCTATTTAAACAAATCCGAATACGATACTTGAGCTGGAAAGGTCAAAATACCCTCTTCCACTTTAGAATTAGAATTTACTATCTGAGCTGGAGTTTCAGGCGAAGTCTGGTAACCCTGCTATCATCTCTAAATGGAGGAGTACTACACCATGGAAAGGACTGCTTACTCTTTTGTATTATGATTATTTTCTTTGTTAAGTTGTTTGTGGATGCAAGACTGATCCTGTTCTCTTATATAGACACACCACGTTACTGTTTCTTTGCATCTCAAACAGTTTATTCCATTCATTGCCACATCATCCTAGGTATCCAGTTTATCTTTTTCCAATTCTCATCTCTGTGGCAATGGATTTGCCATATGTAGGATGGAAGAAGTCCTGTCAGAGATGGACTAGTGACAAGCTGGGCTACCCTCCCCTACCATGCTCCCAGCACATCTCCTAAAATGATGTGATTAATAACACAAATTCCTTCTGTGACCTTTCACAGAAGAGCTGTACTGTGTTGAAGATTAACCCTGAAACACGGAAGGAAATGGCTAGGAGAAATATGAAAACATTCAAGAAGGCAGGAGCAAGTGGAAATTCCAGAGTTGTTAACTTGCTAAAAAATGAATCAAATGCCAAGAAAATTCCTGATATGTGCAGCTCATCACACTGGCATCCTGTTACTTTTGGGTTTCTCTGCTGTTTCAATGAGATGGCTTTGATAAGAAACTGTTTTATTAGTGTAAATTGAATAACTGAAATACTCCTTACACTGCATTGTGCTGATGGAGATGAATTTTGAGAAGTAACATGCTAAAACGGAAAGGCAAGATTTAATCCAAATGAAATACAGAAATTTCCTCTGTGTGTGTGTGTCAGTAGCATTTCAATCCATAGGCAGAGGAAAGCTAAAGATTGCAGCTGAGAGCTGGAATTGCACAAAAGCGTGAATCCTCCTTTAGTTTTGTGGCCTACTTTACCTTTTCTTTCACTACAGTACTTATGTAGAGGAACTGCAGGATCAAAATTGTTTACTTTTGACATTAAAAATTTGCTATTGAGGAATGCCTGATGAGGGAACAGAAAAACAGTAAAATTAAAAACTAATGAAGAGGAAAATAATAAACATTTAATCTCTCTTCTTGAGAATGCTTGTTTTTCATCTTGCCTTTTTCTTTACACATCTTTTTTTCTTCCATCATTCTGGAGAATCCTCTAAAACCAACTGACATACGATTTTTTTTTCTCAAAAACATACCAGTTTTCCTTAATTCTGAAAGAAAATAGGAAAAAGTTACCAATTTCTGAATAAAAAGTTCTGCATTTTCATTTTGAACTTACCACTGTTTCAATGGTGTGTATAATGGAATATAATAAGAAGAAACTCTTATAGTTCAGGATGAAGATACATTCTGAAAATTTTTAAATACTTCCTGGAAAAAGAACTTCCATCCTCTGCACAACCTTAATTCTCTCTTCATGATGATCTGTATTGTAGAGCTGAAATCACCATCTTGTCTCAGATTGTCCATCATCTCAGTGTAGTTTCACTGGAAGTCAAATTTTAGTCAAATATGGTGGTGGAGGAAAAAGAATTAAGGAAGAGATGTCTGATTCCAGGCTTCCTGCCTTAGGAGAGGACCAGCAACTGAAGTAGTTGTTCTCTTGGCAGCAGGGAAGCAGAAGCACCACTGAGCTTTTACTACTAAAAACAAGCAGGAAAAAACTAGTTCTAGAGGAAGCTTCTACAGAAGAAATATCTGTCTTTTAGATTTCAAGATCCAGAAACAGGAATATCTGGCAGTGTTTTAGCTGCAGACGGAAATCTTTCTTTGATTTCTGGAGGGGGAAATAAGAAAAGAGTTGGGAAATCTTTATAAAGTTACACACTGAAGAAGTAAGAGAAAGGGATGCTGATGTTCTACCTGCACCAGCAGTTGTTAAAAATAAATCAACTGGTTTCTTAATGGTAGCTCTTTATGAGCTATAGAAGAGAGTAGGGAATGGGAGGGAATTAGAGTTTCAAACATTTCTTGAAATGGCAGAATAGCTGTCTAAATCATTCCTTATTGTCATTTGTTACTTTTGAGTCGCGCAGCACTATTTCTACAAACAACTCCAAAAGCTGGTTTTTTCTGTGTGGGTTCAGCTGATTGGACAAAGCCTAAAGAAAACATTTTAAGCCCACTACAATTATTTAAATCTAATATCTGTTTCTACCCATTCTGGAACAGAATAAATAGTTAAATTCATCAGGAAACACAATCCTTCTAATGAATTTGGCCAGCTTTAGCAATTGGTTTAAATTCACTTCTGTAATACCAGCTATCTCCAAACACATGCTCACTTGTTTATTTCTCAGTAAAGCTATTTCACAGTCATAGAAATAAACACCACTAGAAAATAATTCTACTGTTGGAAAAATTAATCTTCCTGCATAGCCCGAGAATAAATGTAAGAAGGATTATGTGGAAGATCAACTCAGGAAAACGACATCAAGTTCCTGCATATATCTTCTCTCACACATATTGGGTCTCTTCCCAGTCACACTTGTTTAGCTCACTGACAAACAGCAATTTTTAGTGCTAGCAGCATCATACAGCCTATTCCTTTGTGGGAAACGAGCTGTACATTGTGCTGTTTCATAGTTGGAATTGTCAACTAGTTCTGGTCTCAGAAATGTCGTGACATTCAGTGGTGACTTGCAAAAAAGATTCCCAGTTGTTTGTCCGGTAGTAGATTGGACTGTCTGTGCTAGCAGCTAAAAATGGTGTATTGAGTTGAAAACTCAACAATGTTCTCAAGATCAGATTTTTTCAAGAATAAAATGTAAAACTCATATTTAATGTTTATAGCATTTTTTCCTGCCTATAGCCACACTTTTTTTATCCTTAATGCAAAGTAGCTACTTTCTGAGAATACCCATATGTTGAAAAAAGGAGGAAGTTTGAACAGAAGCTGTGAGAGAAAGTATAATATTTTATAGCTGATGATTGGCAAGCTGACATTCCCAAGTGAGGTCCTGACTGCTAGGTAAATAGTGCTTTCTTCAGGGACTTACAGTATAGTGGTGCCTAAGCATATATAAACTGTAGTTTATCTTGCCAGTCTAGATGGGACTCAAGTAGGCTTTAACTATATTGCCAAGCTTTATAACAGCTCTGCAAAGCCCAGAGCAGTGATCAGAGACATAAGTAAAACATTTTTGTCCTAACAACTGACATTTCACTGTTCAGTTTTATATGTGTCAAGAAATTTCATGGTTGCAGCTCAACCTTAGTGGAATTTGAGGAGATAGGTAACAAATGTGTCTTCATTTTCCCCAAAATAGCATTGTTTCTGTAAGTTAAATGGAATGAAAAATTTCTTTGACTCTTGCCCATTATCATAATTAACACTGAAATCACTTGGAAAAATCTCATCAAGAAGTTGCTGGAGCAGTAGCTGTCATACAGATGGTCATTTCCTCTGTGATCTCCTTCCACTATGCACTAGCAGAGGGATAAAACACATGCCATAAATCAAGTAAGTGTTTCAGAGAGATCACACTGTGAAAGGCTATGTGTAAAAATTGGAGCAGTGTCCTGAAAATCTTCCTAGGCTGTCCCACTCTATCAGCCCTAAGCAATAAACCAAATTGGCGTAAGCCCTGTAAAAAGGCTGTATGGGACAATGAGGATGAGAGAGCAATAACAGGATTGCATGGCCTACAGGTCCAACAGGATAGGTCCCAGGTAGGGAAGAGAAATAAGGACCTCCAAGAAATTTTCTATAAATTTAATTTTGTTGTTGGCGATATATGGGCAGTTCTTCACTGTTTTGTCTTTCTGCCTCTGCTCTTCCCAAGCCAGGAGCGTTCTCATCTAATCTGAGCTCTTTTTACATGATTTGCAGATGTAAAGTCTGGGAAAAGAAGCTCTGATCAAAGACACTCCTATGTGAGAAATTTTCAAAGAATGATAGAATTGTCAGAATAGATAAATGAGAAAAGATGTTGTTATGGTTACCACTGGATTCCCAGACAAATAAAACTAGCAAATTTACAGTTTGTATCTTGCCCCAACAGTTGCAGCCATTTACAAATATAGGTAAATAAACTTATACAATATTTTTGGATAAAGATTAAATTCCAAAATATGTTAGATAAGTCTGTTAGCCTTTACTATATGTTAGAGGACATATATTACCAAAAAATTCTATGTTTTCTTAATAAAAGGATTTGATTACTTCAAATGTAACTGAGGTGAAATGTTTCTTTAAATTATTTTTTCATCATATTTGCTCAAATAAGGACAAAGGTTATAGAATATAATAAAAAATTTAAAGTGCTGTCTCAAGTCTCAAAAAATCATTTACATTCTATCTTCATGTTCCTTAAATTATTGAGACCACTCTCAATCTTGAAAATAAAGTCACTTTCATTTTTTAGATTGAAAATCCAATATTTTATATTTCTGTTTTCTATATTTTCCACTGTACAAAGCATCTGTGTTAAGACATTGTAAATTTTTTTGTGCACATTTCCTTTCTTCTATCATTTTGTTCCAGAGTTTTCCCTTCCTTTTTCCAGGTCCTGCTTTTGGCTCACTTGAAATCATTGTGCTGCTCAGGTGGTCTATAACAGTTTAATTAATTTTCATACCTTACCTACCTAAGACCCGCAGGTTGTGGGGGAATATAGGAAGTAATGCAGGAAATATTAAGTATAATATAACAAAATCAGTGTCTGCTAAGGAGTCAGAGTGGTGCAGGACTGGGAACAGGTGTATATATGGTGTCAGAGAGGGCAAGCTGGCCAGATGGAGGCTTTGAGCGATTAGCTGGGCATCCTAAGTCTTGCAGGTCTGTGCTGCTTTGCAGGCATTTTGACATCACATGAAATTCTGCTTTAATTAATCAAAAAGTCAGATAAGACCCTATGAACAAAAGTTATGTGGAACAACTTTTTCTTTCTGGTTCATGAGTAGGATGAAGTCAAATTTAAGTTAGTGGGAAACGTTTATATGTGTGAAAAGCAGTTATTTACAAAAGCGTATTTTCAAGTGATTTTGCAGGTAAACAAAAACTCACTGTTTCTTTACTCTGAACCAGACAGAGATGTTCTAACCTAATCTAAAAGACATGAAGGTGTGGTTACTATAGGATTTTACTGAAGATAATAAATAACCTGAGTGTCATGCTAACCACAGCAACGTGTGTCAAATTTGCCTGGTTTGTTCTCACCAATTGTGAAATGACCTGGAGTCTTCCTGCAAAAGGCTGTGCACATGTACTCTTACTTAGGATTTTGGAGTGTTTTTCCATTCTTTTAAAATTATTTTGTTCTTGAATGTAATAAAAAAGTAAATATTATAGAAAATATTTTTTTTAAAGCATGAAAAATTTACATACATAAAGCATTGTCTTGGTTTTAACCGAAAATGGCACTTCATGAAATATTTCTGTATTATTTCCTGTTAATACTAGTCTCTAGTAGTCTCTAGTAAATTTTAAAAGTATTATCTCAATTATCAATTTCATTATGTTTGTTATAATCATAGTAATGTTTTATAAAAGGATGACAACATTTTATTACTTCATAGCAATCTGCAATGGAGATGCAAATTCTGTATTCCTTCCTGGATTTTCTCCAAACTGCAGATACAAGAATAGAGCTTTTAAAATCATGTTTCAACAAAGCTTATGGTCTTAGCTAGGTAGCTTATATTACAAGTTTTCCAGTTTAAATAATAAAGCTCTTAGGTGAAACACCAATGTTCTTGCCTTGTGTTTTGGGGGAAAATCTATAAATTTCATATGCTTTTACACCAGAGGCAGATATTTTTCTTGTACATACTTAAAATATTGTTCACAGTTTTTAAAGAAGAGGGTTAAACATCTAATTTTCCCTGAATCTATAAACTGAAGAAATTTTTTATGGGTAAAGGTTTTCATTACAGGTATTTCACATGGTTCTGTTGATTTTACAGTTCAGGTCATCACAGTTCTTATACAAAGATGAAATGTATGTCATGTTGAATTAACTCTGGAATATATTTTGAGTATGGCTGTGGCATGTATAGCCCTTTCAACTCTAATTCTTTGTAGGAAATATTCGCTGCTTTGTCTGTACTGTTTTAACCCCTTCCAACTAAAATTTGAAAAAATTAAAGCAAGCTTGAAAATATGCTGCATTGTTACCCATATCATGTATTCTCAGTAGCAAAGAAGAGTTGTGGAGGAAAACAGAAAAATCACTACGTTCAGCTAGACAAGCCCTTCGTCATTTGTGCAAATCACATATGATGAGCTCAAAAAGCGTGTAAATATATCTAAAACTCATCCTGACTTTATGTGGAAGTCCTTTATTTGGGGGAATAAAGCAAAAATCAACAATTTTTTTTTTTGGGTGCAATTTCTTTTATATATGTGTGTCTAACTTTGCTTTCAATAAAATTAGTTGCAAAATTTTATGGTTTTTTATTTTTGGAGGCTAGAGTGTGAATACATATATGCTGATGGGTCAAAGAACAAAAGTTGGAGTGCAAATATTCTAAGAGTAAGACTATTGCTAATGTTGCTGAGTTTAATTCTTCTGTAAAGAACTTAAGTGATACAGGAACAATTTAAACTTTTGAATTTTTAGGGAAACGTGGTCTTTGGAAAACTATCCTAGTTCTGGTAGTTCTGCATGGTTATTCTACATAGTTAGTGCATAAATCCCCTCAAGAAACAAAAGGTTGTTATAATTACCGACTCGTGAGTTTTCATTCCATTTTCCTTTTTCTTCCAACAGGGTGGAGTGAATGGCTTGACTGGAGAACTGGAATTTGCAGAAAATGGGGGGAATCCCAATGTGCATTTTGAAATTTTGGGGACAAACTATGGAGAAGATCTTGGCAGAGGAATCCGCAAGGTGAGGTTACATATATTCAAACAAGAGATTATTTTCACTGATTTTTTAAAAACCTCTCTTGTGTTCCATGTTAATAGAAAAGCATTTGGTAGCAGATGACATGGTGTTGTGTATCATTAAAGGAGTGAGAAATGGGAGAAAAGCCTTGAACTTTGAGATACCTGTCTATTTTATTATTTAAAAACACCTTGGAGTAGGTTGTGTTGATCAAGATGTCATTTGTAATGTGTTAAGCTGCTGGTTGAATGTCCCAAAAGACCCGTGAAAGCTGTTGTTTTGTAACCCTTGCAACCCATATCCAAAATAGTGACTTTTACGTTGAACTGTGTTTAGAGCACCCAAATTGGTCTCTGATAATTATGGTCAAAGTGGGTTCCTATACCTGTTAGATGAATGAAATTCATGGGTATGGAAAGAGAAAATCTGTTGCAGCCTAGATAAAATTTGTGTGGTCTCTTCAGTATATAACTACATGGTGTTTTGGTAGGAATTAAGTTTTACAGAAAAAGGTAATGTTGTCTATTCAGCTGCCAGACACAGTCCAAATGCTTGGACTTAGATTATTACAGGGAATGGCATACATCTCCAGCAAAATTACTCTTTCTTGGTATTTGAGTTTTGCCAATCTATAACTAAATTTAAGTCCTGCATAAGAAATTATTGGGACAGGTCTCTATTTGCAATGCGTATCCTTAACTTTGAACAACTGCTCATCTGATATGGCAAAAATCATATGGTACTTCATAGGCAAATGAGAGACTAATAGGATTTTCCAAGAACAACTTCCCTTCGAGGACAGATTTCCTGAAAAATAGCAAGTGTATCAGATCATACTGAGTTTTATATGTGAGGAACTTGAAGTGGTTGTCTGAAAGCAAATGGTAGAGTTTTCTTAATATTTGTAAACTGATTCCATGTGTCAGCGTCACTGTAAGATGAAGTACATAATTTGTCTGCCTAGCTTCTGGAGTAACAGATAAGTGCTGTGAAAGAAGGAAGAGATAAATAAGAAGTCTAAAGCGTCTTGAAACTGAAATTTCTTCTCCGCTATTCGTTGGAATTGTTATTGTTTTATCTTGGAATTGTTATTGCTGTTTTATCTCTTGTCAATACCCTAATGTACACATGTGCCTGTAATTATGTCACCTTGAGCAGAGACCCTGACAGATGCTTAGAAACTAGACAGAACTGGATCTTGTTGATATTTGGAGGTACTTCACAAAGTCTTTAGGAGACCAGAATGTTGGATAAGTCCTTATTCCCTTACCTGTAAGTTCTGCTTGTTTCAACATATTTTGACTTATTTACCATGCTATGCATTGAGCAGCTACTTATGGGTTGACTTTGACTGGGGTTTTTTTGACTTCAGGCCTGTCTGGGTGAATGCCTGAGTGAAGCACTAAATTATGTTCTTCCATTCCCAAAAATATAGAAGAGAAAGAGAGACTCACAGAAAGGTCTTGGAAATATAGAAGCACGAGAATACTTTCTAACTTTTCTAGCTCTTTTCTGATGGTAGAATTTAGAATTGCAGTGCTAATTTAAGCTATGATACAGTTTACTTTTAGAAAAGATGTTAATGACCATGGGCACATGTAAGTTGTGCAAGACAATGGGATAGTAGAAAAGGCTTTTTGAACCTTTCTTGTTTACTCTTTATGATAGTTCAAGGACAAAGAGACATTCACTGTCTTTGTAAGGATGTAGATTTCAAGTTGGTCAAAGAGAATAGAGCTTTGCACTTAAGTTTCTCAAGAGTTCAAATCCTGCTTGAAGTCAGTTCTCCTTGTATTCTGGAGTCATTTATACTTCTGCACTTATATTAATAAGTGCAGAATATTCCTAGGATTCAAAAAAGCAAATAGTTTAGGATGCACCAAGAATTCATATTTATGTTTGTTTTATTTGGACAAATTAAGCCATGTATCTAGAAGAAAGTGTCTTTAAGTCCCTGCCTTCAACTTTCATGGGCTGAGGTCATACCTGGAAAGCAGTGGGAGAATTCATGTGAGAGTTCATTGTGTAGGGCTCCGTCATCTAGCAACGAGTTAGCAAATTCAGGAGTGGGATTTACCTGAAATAGAAATTTTGCACCATTATGACTGTAAATGTTATCCATCACCTTGCAGACCATAGATCGTGTAGTCTATACTTGTTACCAGAGTCAGGTTCTTGGAGTAATACATTCAGATGGCTGCCAGATACTGATTTTATTGACACAAGTGGTATTATAGTCCCTAAGGAACTGAATAAAAACTCTTGCTTTTACACATCATACTGTGACTTGCATTTGTGCAGATGTAGTTATATTCGGTGGGAGACACGGGTGTATTTCTGACATTTCTGTGTTGGCATTTGTCTGTTGGTACTTGACATTTGAGTATGTATTCTTTGACATTTAAATTTCAGTGCAATACTTTTATCTACACTGTTGAAATAAAAGCTGCCATTCCTGTGAATAACCATGCAACAAACAAGTGAACAAAAGGGAGTTGATAGCTCAGAGTACTGTCTTATAACTTAGTGGTGTAGAAAACAGCACTGCAGAAATAAAGTGGTTCTCATGTTACTTCCAGTGCTCCTTGCAATTCAGGATGGGTTCATCCTCAAAGGCTCTGTGCTAAAGCTTTTGAAGTTTAGAGGACTTTATTCCTGCTCCCACACTTGTTTTACTATGACCTGTGGACATTTGAGGATGTGGTGCATTTTGCTCTGCCTCCATATCCCTATTAGCATACACCCACCTCCTGTACGTTTCTCTTCTCTTCTGAAGATGTTTTAGGTTGTTTCCTCCCAGTGGAGGAGTAAGATACCGTACCAGGCTCTCACATCAATTGCTCTTTGCACCAGGATGTTCATGCCAAGGCTGTCTTTGCATTCCAGGCACCTAGTGATGCCTTGGAGAAAGGACAGAGCCATGAGCATGCAGAAAAACAGGTAGCCTGAGTGGGGCACCTGGGTAACCCCGGACACTTTGAGCCCCCTGCATTTTTCCATTAGGATTGTATGGTTATGTCCTAACTCATTTTGATTTGATTGTCTTTAGGAGGAAATGTTGTCTCTTTTAATCCAAGGGACATCTGTAGCACAAAGCATTTCATGTGAACAGGGTTGAAGGCCTCTGGCCTTAATGCCTCACAGATGCATTGTTCCTCTACTTCTGCCAGTGCAAATGGCAGGACTTTCCCTGTGGAGTCAGTGCATACAGGTTTTTATTTCACAGATTATTAAGGGTTATAAGCAACATTCCATAGTCGTGCTATTTGTTCAGAGTTGGGAAAGCTGTTTTGCACTTTTTGCTGTCATTCTGGTAAAATAATTGCTACTTCCACTTCATCTGAGACCACTTGTTGATCACAGTACTGGTGTGTCTTTGTAATACACTATATAATTTTTTTCTTACATTTGCATCAGGGAACAACATATGTTCCAAGCATGTATTTTGATCTTCAGGAAGTTGCTGTCTCTTCTTATAAAGTTAAAACTTATTTTTTGCATCCTTTATTTCCCTTTTGTTTCATTAGGTAAAAAGAGAAAGTTATACAGCTCTTCTGACACTTACTAACACCATTTAATAACCAAGAGCACATAAAGTATTTCCTTCTTGGTTAGCTTCTCAGTCAACTACTTGAGGTAAATGATGGGTTCACCTGTTCCCTTTGTGATCACGATCAAAGGTAGAGCTGTGTAATGTGATTTTAAAGATGTATATGTATCAGCACCAGGTACTTTAGGCTGTGATCTGTGTAGCTGTTTCTAAAGGCTGACATTTAATTTATGATGTGACTGAAAGATATCCTTGCAATTTACAGAGACATTATTGATGGTGTATTTTCTAGTGAGTTGAAAATAAATGTTGCTGTGTCTGACTGCCTTGCCTTTAGTGTTGATGGAAAAGATGGATCTGGCACAGTGCTACCATGCTACTCTTTCTAAAGCAACTTTAAATATATAATCAGCCTGCTAGAAATGAAGTAAACTGCTTAGTACTAAAGATGAAGAGGTAATTAAATGCCTTGGTGAACTGAGACCTGCTGTTCCAGTTCAGCGCAGTGCTTAAACTGTGCTGTAAGCCTGCTGAAGAGTACCATTTCCTTCCTTCATTTAGTGCTATGCAATAGATTAAGATACAGGGACTGATTCTTTACCTTCTGGTAGCTTCTGTAAATCTTTTGTTGAATTTCACTGAAATTTAATTTGGCTGCAAAGTGTCGGGGATTTGCATGTTATCACAATAAAACTAGTGTTAATAGAGAACTGTGCTTTACTTAAAATGTACTTCTGTTTAGCTTAAAAGTCAAACTAAATACGTGTTCAAGTCTAATGGAAAATGGAAAAAGTCTCCCTCCATAATTGTATTCCTGAATTTTAAAAAATTTAAAAGTCTTGAAGAAATGCCCTCTCTGCTTTTGAATGGAACATTTCTTTTAAAATCTGAGGCTGTGGAAAGAAAGGCAGACTGACTCAAAGTAATCAATAGTGTAAATTCTCCAACATCTGAAGAATTTATCAGGTTTTGGACTCTCTGATTCAGATGGAGGGGGAGTGAAATCTAAGTCCTGGTGCTGGGCTGTCCAGCTACCTGCCCTGACCCTGGGCTCTTTGACTGAATGAGTTTGTTCATTAGTGCAAAGAAGCCAGAGATTAATTTGGTGGATGCTGCCCCAGGAATGTGGAAGACCAGGGTTAAAGTCCTCCTTCTAGTGATTCCTGATAAATGCATAGCAGAGCAGTTGCTACTACAGTCAGCATTATGAGCAATCCGTTCCCCTCGAATTCTTCACCTGTGGAGCAGGATATCCAGCAGGAATACAGGAGAGACAGGATCCAGGTGTATGAGCAAAATGACACAGAACTCAAACTTCAGACTAATGCCCACAAAGCCAAGGCAAGCATAATGCAATAGAGACATATTATCCCACCTATTTCTTGTTAGCAGCACAGTCAGACATGTCTGCTGAGCTCCAGTGGATCAGGCATTTGAGCATAGCAGTACCTCT